GCAAAGGGAAAGAGTTCAGCCAAATGGGAATTGACAAGGGTCAAGAGAAGGTGCAAGTAACTCACTTAAAATAAAAATGAGAAAGGTGCAAGTAAAATAATTTGAGCATGTCACCCATAGAAATGTAGCTTCTACTGTGGTTGAACCATTGGCTGTGGTACAACCTGCTATAACTTGACTAGTTGAGCTAGCAAGCATTTTCAAGAGGAGAGCTGCTCTACACAACAAATTAGGTGATCCGTTGTAGATAATATGATGACGAACATGGAAAGAAGAAAAAGGAAAATCTAAAGTTCACAAGGATTGCACCTCGGACTTTATGTAATCATCTTTTGGGTTAGTTTGAGTTTTGTTTTATATATTTAGACATTAGAATGCTTCTGGACAATTTAATGGCTTTTTATTCAGTTTTAGTTAGGGTATTTTGATAATTATTGGATATGAGCTGTAGGGGTAGCCCACGAGTGTTCTTATGGATTAAATTATGTTTATGGGTCTTCCATGGAGTTCAATTGTGTTATTAGTTCTAAAATTTTCTAGTTGGTCAAAGTTTCTTAACTTTCTAATCGTGAAATTGGGGTCCTTCTTGTAAAAGTCTAGTAACTTATAAATTTAGTTGTAAATCTTATTTTCAATAGGAGTTGATTTATGAGAATTTAAGATTGTGTTTTGAGTAAATTTGTTAAATCATTACAAGGGTGAAACACCTTTTCACCTTTCCTCATATTTTTCTTCTTCTTTGCCCACGTACTCAAGTTACTACTCTCAGGTTATAATAAGCCAACATTAGGAACTCAAAGTAGCACATCATTGACATGAATATGGTGAGTGACACGACAAATTTCGAAAATTGTTGGACACAACATGCTTGGGACACATTAAATAATTATATTTTTATATATTTGTTACATTCAAATATATGAATAGTTTTTTTAAAGGTAATGAAAACAAAAATAAACAAGATTGCATTTTAAAAAATGCAAAACAATTGTAGAACATTGAGATACACAACACATGATATATTCATCTTATAAATGCTGCAAAACGTATTTAGACTACACAAGTTGCATTCCGAAAAAATGCAAAACATTGTTACTATGAAGAGATTCATCATATATGTTGTGTTCAGAGTGTTCAGAAAGTGTCGCTGAAGTGTGTGTAAAATGTCTGATGCTATGAATTTTACTTTTTAATTAAGACAAGTCAAAGAAGTGGTGACCCTTAGAGCGTCCAAAGAGCGTCGTGCCCGATATGACAAATGTCCGTGCTTCGGAGTTAGGAGCTAGTATGGATTTTTTGTTCCTAATTGGTCATCTAAATCTCTATAAGGTTTTGTCTTCTTAGGCAAATAAACAAGTGCTTTCTTAGCATGCATATTTTTAGGTCATAAGCTTTTACAATTTTTGTCGTAACTAGATTGCTGAATAGTTGTAAACTAAAATTCTGTGTAATGCAGAGCAGAAGTAGACACTCCCACATTAACTGATTATTAATAACACATGAAAGGAAGAAAGAAAAAGAAAAGTAGGAGAAATATCTAAGCTGGAGCCCAATAATGTCTAGAATGCCAATAACTATGTGCCATTAACAGCAAAATGCAATCATATGTTTGAGATTTAAACATGAAAATTCTAAGACATACATATGGAATTGAAAACTTACTGGATATGTTTTCTCAATCTTTGAAATAATTGAAGTCCAAGTATCAAAGTCTAGGCCTCTACGAATCAATTCCTGAAGTTGTTCATCAAAACCAACTGTCGGAAAGTGCCAACAGATTATATCCTAGTTAATTTGAAAGGAAGTTGCTAACCTCACTTTGTAAAGAGTTAAGACAAACAACTAAAAAGAAATAAGTTCCATTAATAAGCAGATTTAGCATACTTAGTGAAATAATAAAACCCAATAGTGCAGAAGTTAAGAGTTCAGTTGCTTCTCCCAAAGACAACCAAAATCACATCTAACCGTTTTCAAATAAAATATAAGAAGAAAATTTTAAGAAATAAAAAAAAGGGTAGCGCCATGGCTCTCCAGGAACAGCCTTGGACAATTTAGCTCTTAAACCTACTTATGCAAATAACATAAGTACCCTATCAGAATCTTCACCAATGCATATGCCCGATCACCAATAGATCACCCATATGATTTCTATGCCTCTTTCTCATCAACAAAAACTTCCCAACCCTTGCTCAGTCCCTCTTTACATGCTAAATCAACAGAACCAAATTATTAAGACAAATACAAGAGTAAGAAGAAAAGGAAAGAAGGAGAAAGCATTAGTGAATTGTTGTCAATAGTGAAAGTCATCGCCTCAACCACCTAAGATTACTTGGACCCGACTTTGATCAACACCACTATCTCTTCCAACTAAATAAAACCCAAAAAGGTTGCTAATACCACCATCAGTTACCATCAACTCTGCTATTGTAGGTACATGGGTCCAATTCCGCCACATGGCTTTGTGTCATGAGCTAACAGTTTGACTTCAGCTCGCAACTCTTGCATGTGGCGTGGCGCCCCAACATGGCGTGTTGGCCCCAAGTAGTCCAACGCATACCCAATGCCGATGTGCACACGCCTGCCCATGCTTGCACACTAGAGGGTTTCAAGCATGCGTTGGCATTTCCGTAAATTCTAATATTTGGGTAATATTTAGAATTATTGGATTATTTCATTATGACTCCTCAAACATGTGGGATGTTTCTTTGTGCCAGCCAGAAAAGGGCTTAAGATGCTATTAAAAGGGGGCATGGAGTGCTTCAACCTATCTCCCCAACCTATGATGGGGTTACAAATGAGCAACCAAAGGGCAGGCCTTTGACACTCTATTGAGAGTTGTCTTTGGTCTTCATGTGTGTTTTGGGAACCCCATGGACAGTGTCATTGAGAGGCATGAGTGCCAACATTGCACGCTACTTCCTAGCGGGAGGTTCAAGCACGCACTTGCTATGCCGCTTGTTGTAGCATATTGTGGTGTCATCTTCGATATAACAGATTAGGCTATCGAGGCATGCCATCATTAAAGCCTCATGTGCCAACTTGTGAACATAGGCTTGGGTTCAGCCGTGAATGCGAGGGTCGTGTAGCCTAGCTAGCGGTTTAGTGACAACACCGCTACTAGTGGGAACAATTGAATGTCATGAAGCATTGCCATCATGCAAGAAGCATTGCGCGGAGCTTGTGGGAAGACAAAATGCTAATTGAGCAATACTAACACACATTGTCATGCTCATGCTACACGCTAGTGCAACGCCTTGGGTGCACAATGACCCTTCGTGGATGGTTTAGCATATCAATGCGTGCATGAGGATTTGAGTTGTGGCCACGCATGTGACCATAGTCACCTATGGCTGTCTGAGATGGGCGCAACAAGAGACCCTATTCAAGAGAGGGAAAGCTTGTCAACCAGATCGAGTGTTCTAGATCAGTGCACAATTAGGCAACTTTGTGTTGGGTTAGTTGTGAGTCACACTAACATGGGACGCCTTGATTGAGTTGGACCTCAGTTGGGCAAGCGCTTTGCTCAAGGGCGAGTTTGGTGCCATGGAGCAACATCAGCAGCGCGTAATGCACTTGCGGACATCTAGTCCACTCGTGGCATGGAAGCCGGAGCTTCTTTGTGAGAGTTATTTTTGCTAGACATAGCATTGGGCTTGCATTTGACAAGACGGATTAAGATTCAACACTCGATGGTCAAGGAGAGTTTAGCAAGGCTAGACATTTGGTCCAATTCAAGTGCCTCACAGGCAAATATGTTCCGTTGTGCCTCTAAAAAGAGCCGGCTTGTGACACTTTGCAACGTCATCATGTGGCTGGCTTCTCCACGAGTCCGAATTTGCTGAAGTTGAATATCTCAACTTCACGGTGAAGTTGATCAATTATTGGACTAGCTTGGATTCACTTCAGTGATCCAAGCCATTCATCTTATACAATAACTAAGAAAATTATCCATGCAAAATATCAAATTGATCTAACATCAATTGTCATACTATTAGACCATTTTTATCTATACAGCCTACATGTTTTAAAGAATAGACTATCCATGTGCTATAATGTATATGTGATTTGATCATGTGATTACTTATGTCTGATCAATCTAATTTTTTGGATACATGTTCTTCTCAGCTTGTCGTATGAAATGAACAGTTTAGATCATTGACATGGGTACAGATTAGTCGCACAATGCGCCAACTTTACGTATGAAGTTCAAATGTTCAACTTTAGCAAATCCAAACTCACTTCTCCATAAGGCTCGAGCGTCATATTTTTGCCTCGTGAGGTGACACGTAGGTCAATCACATATCCCCAATTCCTCCCCTAGAGAGTCAAGACTCAAGACATGCTAGCCAGGCTTAGGCATTAATCAAGGCTGCTCAAATATCTTCCTCTTTTTTTTTCTTTTTCTTTTTTTATCAGCAGCCAAGGAAATTTTATTAATAAAAAAGGAAGAAAACAAGAAGAGGACAACCAGGCACTCTCCTCTTGAGATTACCCTCGCCACCAAGATCATGACAAACTAATGTGTAGCAAACCAAGCTTTCTTAATCCCCAGTCTGAAGTGTCTCATCATTGCTACCTACCACGGGAGAGGGATGTTAGGACTCGTGAAGGAAAATGCCCCCACTAAGATTTGGAAAAAAATTTACTATAATCACTTGTATTGACTTTGAAAAATAGCCTATGCAAGACAATTTGGCCTCACTCACATTTGGATTTTGCCCCCACTATGTTATGTCCCCCCACTCTTTTTAAGAAGTAATATAAGAATCTCTCCCATTTATCCCAAAAAATAAAAATATCAATCCCATTCCTCTCTACATAACTCTCTCCTATGTAGCTCCTCTAATCCATGTTTGTTTGAATGGACTAAATAAAAAGGGATTGCAATGCAATGAACTATTAGTCCTGGAATAAATAGTCCCTAGACTATTTCGTTGGAAATGATATGTATCTCATATTTGTTTGGTCATGGGATTAGATGTTTGGAAATAGCTATCCTAGTGAATCTCATGTTTGGTTAGGAAATTATGAAGAAAGATAACTTCTCAAAAGACCATTTTGTCCTTTTGTTTACTAAGCAATGGCAATGCTAAATTTGAAGTATATTTGATTTTATTTTACTAAAACCACTTTTTAATTTTATTTAAATACGAGTTTAGAAGTATATTTTCATTTATGATTTTGCTAATACAAAAAAAGGCAAAAAAAAAAAAACAAACAAACAAACAAATAAATAAATAAAAACAAACAAACAAACAAACAAGACTATCATTTATAACGAGATTAATTTACACGTTTAAAAAAATAAATAAAAAAATCCAGCATGTTTAAAAAGAGTGAAGAGATGTGATACAGTGACGATTAGATAGAAGTGTTAGGGGAAGGAGTAGACCTAGATTGACGTGAGTTAGTGTAATAAATAGAGATATGAATCTCGTTAAATTGACTAACCAAATGGCCTTTGATAGAGTTGGGTAAAGAAGAAGGATTCATATAGCCGACCCCATTTGATAGGACTTAAGGCTTGGTTTGGTTTGTTTTGGTTAACATGTCTTAAAAAAGAGTGTTGTTATTACCACACCAATTAATACTTTGGACCCCCCATGTCTTTCTTTTCTTTTATTACAATAATAACCTCAAATAAAATTACTAAAAAGGACATGAATTATTTTGTGACACCCCATCTCATAATTAAATCTATCCACCCACTAAATCATAACACAGGGTTTATGAGAGGATCCACCTTAATCACCACCCACACACTTCAAAACCCTCAAAACCTTCAAAACCCTCTGGCGGCAACGGCAACGGCAACGGCAACAACTATTCAACAGTATACACTTCTCCAGTAATGGCAATGAGAGAGTTTTTCCGGCAACCCCAATACCATGAGACGAATAGAGCATCACAATGTAAGCTCAGAGGAGGTTCACAGCTTGGATGCTGTTCGCATCTCGGAGGAAGTTGACCTTGTAATGATAAGTTTTTTCAAAAAAAACAAAAATTTGGTGAAAACGGTCCTACTTTTTTTCAAAACTGAACTCCCAAACATATGCCAAAAAAATAGTAACACGTGGCCAAATTAAAGGCATTAGTTTAGCAACGTCTAACCGAACATTATTCATATGTTCGGCACTTTGAATGTAACCTTAATCCATACTCACGTTTTGGTTATGCGATAAACTTTAGTTTTATTTGTTAATCAAACTGGTTTATGCATACTTATCTTTGTTTGTTAAACTTTGATGGGTCAAACTTGTTCATAGACTGATAACTTTACGTTTTTATAATGCTCAACAACACAAGTCCGAACATAGGTAATTTCTTCGGCAACATAGGTCCAAACATGGCGGTGGAGAGATCGACGGCAGAGAGAGGTCAACAGTGAAGGACTGGCTACGACAAAGATCAACGGCTCAGCTCTCGACAGTGAGAGGAAGATTGGTGAGTTCAACTGATAAGGGTTTTGGGAGATGGGAGTTTTTAGGTGGTGTGCTAAGGGGTGTGTATTTTGGTGGGTGTGATATTTTTAGAAGGATAATTTTGGTTTTTATTATTTGGAAGGTTCTTAGAAATTGTTAGGGTTTTGAATTTTGTAGGTGGGGATTCCAACAAATGGGGGGTCCAAAGTATTAAGTGGGGGCTGATAGTAGCACTCTTAAAAAAAATGAAAGAAAGAAATGTTATGTACTTGGGGGTTCAATTTCGTCATTAAACTAGCTAATCTAGAGGTTGGCTCAATCCACTCATTTCTGTCCCACACAACCTGTTAGTCTGACCAGATTATTAGTCTGACTTTCACTTTTCTAACTAAATGTTGGACTAGTTATTCTAATGGACATGGAGTCCAATCTCATGGCTCTATCCCACCAAACAAACACCCTTTTTAAGAAAATTTGTTTACAAATTAAAATCTTGCTAGTCATGTAAATTTATCTTTTATTTTTACTTTTCAAGCAGTAATTGAGATAGTTATGAAAAATTCCATAACTGTCATTGAGGACAATAATATGCATAGATTTAGGGTTTAAATAAGAAAAAACATTAGCCCTTTAAAAAAAAATTTATTTACTATCAAATAGGAAAACATTTCGCGTATGGTTCAGATTTTGCCTCCTTTGGAAAAATACCATGGCTCCATCCTTGGCTACATAGGTTGGGAGCAAGGACTAGGCATCTTGCTAGAGATCAATAGAGGACTTGTGGCCTAGAGGCTAGAGTCTAAGGGTTCGTCTTAGTGCCTCACCAACTCTTTCCTGAAGGTAGAACATGTCTAGGCCAATCTTACAAAGACACTAGGCATTTACAAAGGCATGTGACACCTCGAAGGTTGAATATACAATTCTTTATTTCTCTTTATACATTAAATTTCTACATGGTATCAAAGCCATAAGATTTAGGCCCGTATTTTGTTTTCTCACCGGCGGGCAGCCGGCCGGCAACCTTGCCTTCGCTGCCCGCTGGAATTTTGTACACATACCTTCACTTTCCTGCCTCTTCCAACTTTCTTACAACTGTTGTCCCATAGATGGGCTTCATATCTACCGGTCCATCTATGCCTTGTGACACCTCTATACTGTGAAGTCCTCTGTCCAAATGCATCAATGGACTTCCTATGGACAACCTGCTTCTGATCAAGCTTCTCAGACCCTCTTTTCTTCCCCTCCTTGAATGGTGTTTGGTACACCTCATGGCCTCTAAATGCATAGTAATCTGAGTATTGCTGGGCTAATAACAAAGGCCTTGTCAGCACCAAATCTCAGTGCACTGGATTTTCCTGCACTTTCTGTGCATGATGGTCAAAATGGTTTGCCAAAATATGCTGGAGATGATATCCAACAAAGTGGTAGTCCTTACAGGTATTCCAGCAAGGACAGCATGCTTTTATTCAAATCTAGCTCTTCAATCCCTACGAGAGGTGCTACTGATTTTGCTTCAGCTGTCAGGAAAATGTCATCTCAGGATTCTGGTATATGGAAGTATGAACGAAATGGTTCTGCTGATGCTAGTGTTGGCTCAAGTAGAAGTGCACATCTTTTGGCTAGCTCTTACAGCAGCGGGCAGGGGAGGAGCATCTATGGTGATAGATTACAAAGTCGGAGTTCATCCCGGACAGCTCCTGTTTGGCTAGAAACTGGAGAAGCAGTGGCAAATATGTACTCTGAAATGCGGGAGGAAGCTCGTGACCATGCACGCTTACGTAATGCGTACTTTGAACAGCTGCAAGTTGATGGTGGTTTGAATCAGAATCTCAACTCAAAGGTCCTGCTGTCCATCTGTTCTCTGCTGACAGACCCACACCCTGATGATCCTCTTTTTTGGCAGTTTGCAAACATACTTTTTCCTCTCTCTCTCTCTCTCCACTCAAGGATACCCACCATTTTGTCAACTTTCCAGACCACTCACCGACTCCCTCACCCCCCAAAAAGAATACCTTTATTTATTTATCTTATCTTTCTTGTGTTCCATTTTTCAAAAAAAAAAAAAAAAAAAAAAAAAAAAAAAAAAAAAAAAAAAAAAAAAAAAAAAAAAAAAAAAAAAAAAAAAAAAGTATTAAGTGGGGGCTGATAGTAGCACTCTTAAAAAAAATGAAAGAAAGAAATGTTATGTACTTGGGGGTTCAATTTCGTCATTAAACTAGCTAATCTAGAGGTTGGCTCAATCCACTCATTTCTGTCCCACACAACCTGTTAGTCTGACCAGATTATTAGTCTGACTTTCACTTTTCTAACTAAATGTTGGACTAGTTATTCTAATGGACATGGAGTCCAATCTCATGGCTCTATCCCACCAAACAAACACCCTTTTTAAGAAAATTTGTTTACAAATTAAAATCTTGCTAGTCATGTAAATTTATCTTTTATTTTTACTTTTCAAGCAGTAATTGAGATAGTTATGAAAAATTCCATAACTGTCATTGAGGACAATAATATGCATAGATTTAGGGTTTAAATAAGAAAAAGCATTAGCCCTTTAAAAAAAAATTTATTTACTATCAAATAGGAAAACATTTCGCGTATGGTTCAGATTTTGCCTCCTTTGGAAAAATACCATGGCTCCATCCTTGGCTACATAGGTTGGGAGCAAGGACTAGGCATCTTGCTAGAGATCAATAGAGGACTTGTGGCCTAGAGGCTAGAGTCTAAGGGTTCGTCTTAGTGCCTCACCAACTCTTTCCTGAAGGTAGAACATGTCTAGGCCAATCTTACAAAGACACTAGGCATTTACAAAGGCATGTGACACCTCGAAGGTTGAATTATACCCATGGTTTTAAAAAGCAGCCTCAAGGTTGTAGTAGTTACCACCACCCGCTACGACCGCTATAGCAGTGTGACAAAAATTTACAACTGTAATGTCTACCACCGTTACATAAAGGCCATAATGGCCGTTACATTGCCGCTACAGCACTGTTACGGTTGTTACCACCACTACACTTATTTTTTATGTAAGGTTATTTTCTCTTTTTTATTTTCTAGTTGTTAAAATCACACAAAAATGCACAAAACTTAAGTAAAAATCTCAACTCTACATGTTTTGAATGTCCAATCTTCAAGTTCTACAAGACTCGAGTTGCTATCAAGATTAATTAAATGAGCTTACTTCTCTCTTTCTCTTTTCAAACTTTCATTACTTTATATTTTTTATTTTTATTTTTATTATTGACAAGCTTTCATTACTTTTTCACTTAATTCTTTAGATATTAACTTAGATCTATTTCCTCTTACGTTAAGTTTATTGAACAAAATTTAGATTTCATGTTATGTACTTTTACTTTATTATATTCATATTTTGTATTTTGAACTTATGTTTATGAGACTATTATTTTTAATTTTAAACATATTTTGTTTTTTTCCTTAACAAGTTGGAAGTTATCCACAAGTACATAATTAGTATAGCAAAGAAAATTAAATAATCCAACAATAGGAAAAATCTCCACAATGACTTAAAACTAATATAAAAATTAGTACATATATTGGATCATGTTTAAAAACTAAGAAAAACATACCAAAATTATTTTGAACTTCACTAAATGTGATTTTGAAATAAAAACATGCATATCGGTATGTTTTTCTAAAGTTGCGCGAAGAAATAAAAAAAAATTCACGATTCTGGTTGCCGCCACTGTTACGCTACAGCCGTTACATTGCGCAACTGCATTAACACTACAATTACCGTCACAGTATCCGCCACAGTTATTTAAAACCTTCATCATACCTAACACTAAGCTTCTATGACATCTTGAAAGATATATCATACTTACCTATTGTCAACTCCATCATACATTCCTCAAGGTTTGGCCTCCAATGAAAAGGTAACCAAGATACATCTGTGAAGCAAAGTTCCACATTACCCAAGTACTAAAGTAATGTTAAGCATATAAACATGAGGGCAACCTCACCTCTTGAGCTAGTTTTTGAGGTTAAAAACTAAACAAGACTATGCAACATGGTATCAGAGCACCCTCACAGGTGTTGTCGAGTGAGCAAACTAGGCATGAGGAAGGGTGTGAAATGAAGTCCAACATCACCCAGGTATTAAAATAATGCTAAGCATATACACATGAGGGCACCCTCACCTCTTGAGTTAGATTTTGGGGTTGAGTTCTACCCCAAGACCGTGTAGCATGGTATCAAAGCCTGAGAATTCAAAGATGGGTAGGATGTGTGTCCTTGGCCTGCACAACGCAAGTGTTGCCGAGTTAGCATGTTGAAGTCCCATATCGCCCAAGTACTAAAGCAATGTTAAGCATATAAACGTGAGGGCACCCTCACCTCTTGGGCTAGCTTTTGAGGTTGAGCTCTACCCAAGACCGTGTAACAACATCCATATTGTTGAATTAAGGTGTGGAGCCATCTGTCCTAAGCTATGTTGGCAACCAAGGTTTGGCCACCTTATATTAGGGAGCCTCCTCCATGCATGCAATTAGCGTCTCAACCTCTCCTATCTCTCAAGCAAAGCATCAAGCTCTCCGCTACCACCTTCTCTCTCTCCAAGGGTTGCATGTCCTCCGCCTCCGGTGATCGCCAACCATGTCAATGTCTACCATCTTCCTAAAGTGCCTCCCTCAACCACACCATCTCTTCACCATCCACAACAATCAAGCACTATCATCGACTTCATTACCCATATGCTATGTAGCAAAGGCACATACATAGCACATGTACACGATATAACACAAAGACGTTGACTAATGACGGCAACAAGGCAGGGATAGGTCAAGGGACCCTTACCCACCCCCATTTATGAACATCACCCCTATACCCCTCCCCGACACCCGCCCCATCCCCACTTAGTGTAACCCCACGCCATCCAGATTCGAACAACCTAGTTGACACTCCTGCAACTTGAATCTCATTCTTCGAAAGCTATCACAACTTGAAGTCAAGCTATGTCACACAGTGGAGGCAACAATTACGGTTGGCCACATATCAGTTCGAAATCAATTGTAAATTGAAACGAAATTTTTTCTACTATTGATGAATCACACTCAAATCCAGAAAAGATTAGGAATCAGTCCCTAGCTCTGATACAAAAATGATGGAATCAAAATCAAAGAGAGGAGAAATCATAGAGAGAGAAAGTCTCAATTGAGATCTAGAGAGAATCTCTGAAAATATCTATTCCAAAATGATCGAAGGTTGGTTATTGGACACCCACATTCCCATTTATAGTCAACCAACTCTGCCACCCACTAACACATCAACTAAATAATACAAATCGAATGACATGCACATATTTACTTGTATCATAAAGCCAAGCTTGAGCAACAATGTGCTCACTGCTCAGAACTATTAGGCTCAAAAAAAAAAAAAAAGGGCTACAGTGCAATTGAAATGGAAGTACAAATAAACTTGAACCTACATAGTAGAAACAAATTATAATTTCTGAACTCCAACTTGGAAATTAATCCCATGAGGTCAGCAAACAAGGTTAAGGTCCCCAAATTCAAATAAGCCAAAATCGAACAATTTGAAAGGTTGGGTATGAAGCTTTTTACGAGCGAACAAATCAACATTTTTATCTTCCCATCAATAACCGTTGTTTCATTTTGTTATCAAACGAGTAATAGAGTAATACCCAACTCACTTTTTGTCTTAGTTTCGAATTTCACACATTCAATTCAAAGGTATTATGAGAAGAACTAGATAATTTTCAGAAACAATTCGCTTAAAGCATAGTTTACAAGTATAAACTATCACGCATTAAAGGTTTGAGTTCACCTTGAGACTCTTCTCCTATGGCCGGAAGGTTCTTATCGGCATTATACATCTGTAACTCCATTACTGCAAATCAATCCACCTACATATATATATATATAGAGAGAGAGAGAGAGAGAATCGGAGAGGTTATTTTATAACAAATGACTTTTGGTTTCTTCACCCAGTCGACCCGCTAAGAGACCCTTGGGTCTTAAATTGAACATAAGGAAATTTTCCTTTTTTTTATTATTATTTTAATGAAAAACAGTAGATATTTTAAAAATTCTATTAAAAATTTTATTAGATGCCTCATAGTTTACATTATAGATCCATATTTATACCATGTGAAATATTTGATAGAAATTTTAGAAAAATTTTTGAGTCTCTAGCATTACTCTATTTCAATTAAAGTGTAAATTTAATATGATGAAATATAGAAATAAAATTACCTTCTTGTTTATTGTTGTACAAATGATGCAATTAACTAAAATAAATAGATTCATGATTACCTGAAATAAATTGACTTCTTTATCATTTTATTGTATTGTGTATTTTTATGCAATATAATTGTAATATTCAGTATGTTTTCTTATTCTGTAATGTTAATTTGATTAATCATGAATCTATATATTTTAGTTAATTACATCATTTGTGCAATAATCTTAAAACAAATTAGCCGTCTCACCGTGGGTGCTGACGGCACGTCGGCTTCTGTCTCCCAAAATACAACGGTTTAGACTGGCTAACACAGAAGTACCTTCTGTTGGCTTTGGCGAACCGACAATGGCAGCACTCTCTCACACGAGAAGAAAATTATAGGAGCAAACTGACTGTATATTCTACAGCACAAATTTTGTGTCAAACCAAGGAAGATGAGCCTCATTTTATATATAATGGGGGAGAGAGGAGGAGCCTCCAGCCGTCAAGGCTGGCACCAAATACAGGCCATTACTCCTGCAAAACTGTTGGAGTAATGCACCAAAACTGATGGGTCAATTAGTGTATAAGTTATATACTCTATATACACATTTGTGTGTATCTGCAGCAAACCTGGCTCAAAAAGATTAGGTTGCTGGACCACTAATCCGGCCCAGCCCAAACCTAACCCATTCCAGCAAGCCTCAAACTCAAGCCCAAGCCTAAGATCCATGGTCCACAAACCACGAACCCGGACTCGAACCTAGCCCAGTCCTGGCGAGCGAGCAGCGCAGGCGCACAATTGTGGCAAATTTTCCATAACTAACTTGGACTATAGTTTTGGCCCAGGCTCATCCTTGAAGCATCCATAACTCCCTTCCTTTGA